TATCACGAATACTCTGCATTAGAGCCTTGTTCTCAAATATTTCAACCCCCAACATGCTGGCCTGTTGGTGAATTTTCGACAGTGCCCCGAGCATTTCCCAGTAGAACTTCACAAAGCTGAAAAGAGACGCCCCCTCTTTCTGAATCGTTAACATCTTGACCAGGAAGGTTACAAAGAAGTCCTGCTCCTCTATGTTAATGGCTTCTGGTAGGGTGACCGTGATAGAGTGGTAATGTGGTGCGTTTTCCTTGACGTACCAGCTAGTGGCTGTGCGGACCACAGTGACTTCATGGCCCCTGGCATGGAGGCTCTGGATCAGGAGGTTCATGTTAACCCAGTGGCTGCCATCCACCGGGAACACCAGAATCTTTCCACCCTGGACACTGGGACTTGTCAGGAGGGACACACTCACCGCCAGAAGCAGAAGTGAAACTCCCAGGATGCTCCCCATGGATTCACTCTGAGGGAAAAGAACAAACACACAAGTTTAATATAAGCAACTGCAAATATTGGAGTAATCACCTGTTATGATTAGTTTATGTCACACTTGATGTGTTGACAAGGCAACCGCTGCATGTGAAGACACAGCGGCCGGTAGCTTCATCAAATGCTAAATTTTAGTTTGAACTATTTTTTTCTGGGTCTGATTGGGTCTGGTTTTAAGTGGCTGGTGCATACTGTTCAAATTTAAATTGATTCAGAAGATTTTAACTATGGCAATGCTAGCTCCTTCAAACCTTTCTGTTTTTGGCTTTATCACTGAAACACGTATTACCTAATTCAAATTCAACACAATTTCAAAAAATGAATTATTTCCTAGGTGTGTACATATATAGTTTTTTTATTCTATGATGATGATTATTTATGAATTTAATTATCTTTCTCTATGTGTGTAGCATTAAGGAACTACAAAGCTTTATTTTGTAATAAAGCTTTGTGTTGTATAATAATAAATACATTTCCTTGATTATAATTTTTTACTAAATTCCTTCCAAATGACAAACTTATGTAACAAACTGGGAATTGCAACCAGCCACAAGAAACACTGACATGCACCCAGGGTGGTAGCTACTGGAAAGAAAATGGTGTTATTTTTATATAACCTAGATGTGTTTATTTTAGTCAGCGAAAGCATTGTTGTCTCATAATCAGAAATCAACACACAAACATGTTGAAAGCCAAGGCCATTTAATTGTGCAGAGCTTTGGAAGTTTGCTGATAAGCATTTTTATTACGGGGGAGAGACAGTGAAAGTCTTTCTCTCAAAGGCTGCACATGTTATTAGGATGCTATCATATCATATGCTGTATTATATTATCAAATTATCATTACTATTGATGTTTTAGCTGGTCAAGGTGGAGCTAATTTTGATCATACTTTATATACACACTTACTCCAACATTATTAATATTATTAATTATTTTTAAAAATATAGCTCTGGGTTTTTATACCTCAGAAACACCATATCCTGGATGGTTTTATCTGCAAATTCTTTAGCACAGATTTACAGAAGAAACCAGAGGAAATGACCACATGGAAACACACAAAGCCCACAGTACTAAAACCTGAGATGTCAGTCCAACTGATCAAAGTCCAGTGGAATGCATGGACTGACTAATGCCTTGTGTTACTATGGTCTCTAATCTTATTCAGCAGGGACTCGCTAACAGGCTAAAAACACATAGCAGAGTCTCCATTCATAATATGCAGAAGAAACATGCCCTGAAGTGTCCAGTTTCCTGTCTGCATGTATGTTGTTGAGAAAGCTGAGAAAGAGGAATCTAACATGCATTCTTGCCTACAAATCAGCAACTTCCAGTGATCAAAGACTGTTGAAAGTAGTTATTTAAAGTCCAGCACAAGTAAGTGTCAGCAAAGTCTCTTCTCCACAGCAATGCTGTAAAGGCATTTAACTAAGTTTGTTCGTGTATTTTATTAAAAGGAGTAAATGTTAGAACTTACCTTAAATCACTGAAACAGTGGAGAAATGTACTACTAGCCTCCCCTGGACAAGTGAAGCTCTGCGGCTGCTGGAATCCAAACTCCAAACCCGATTGTTGTGTTACATAAGGAAGGGAGTCCAGTGGGGGAGGGCGGTGTTACAAATGGACTTCAGATTTTTGTGTGTACTTTGGACGGGGAGGAGAGGGAAAACAGTTTTCCCAAAGAGTCCGCCCTCTCTCTCTGTGCTGCATACAAACTCACAGAGGAAACCACCCACCCAACACACACACACTCAAAACAGTTTTTTGTGGAGAAAATCTCACCTGCTGTGACCTGCACAATGAGCTCATCCTGCAAAATAGATGTCCAGGAAAGAGCAGTTATAAGACCCTTTAGTACTTTCTATTTTTTTTTTTTTCATATGTTCAGTCCTTGAATAAATGGGTATTTGGTTAAAATTATCTTTTTTTTAAATAATGGTTAAAATGTTTATGATATGCTGAAATGTAAAGTAACAGTAGGATATATAGAGTCATAAATCTAAAGTTGGCTAGCTAACATGGTCATTCCAGACCAAGTGAGACCGCAGCAACAAAACCTCTCAGTGTATTTAATTACGCAAGGGTGCGTTTCATTGCTTATGACCTTAATTTCTCGTTTGTTAGATAAGGAATGCACAAACAGATGCAGTAATAGGTATAGAGCCATGAAGATATAAGAGTTGGATCATCTGTTTGCTCCAATTGACCTTTTTTTTTTATTTACAGCAATGGCAGAACGTGGAGCCTCTCAATAGTTCCCAGAAGTTAGCTTACTCTACAACCAGTGCAGTAGAGTTGCAAATTTAAATATTAATTCTGTTCTGATAATACTATATCATCCAGTGTTGTTGCTTCTTAACACATTTTTTTGCATGGTTGGGAGTAAAAATAATATTGGGGTATGTGATTGTACAGTTGTGGGTGCAGTTGGTGATATGATGATATCTATGTTTAAGTACAAGTTATGTAATACTGATGTTAAGCAGGTATAATGTTTACCATGTTCACCATCTTAACTTAGTTATGCCATTAGTCATAATAAGTCATATAAAGGTATTGGACAAATTTATCTGGATTAAACATTAAGGGATAACCAACATTTTTTACAATTCACCCTGACAATCAAGCCATGAAATTTATCGAGACATTTCAACATTTCAATCACAAATGTGAATGCCTCTATCTTTTAGCTGTTGAGATATTTCACTGGAGAGAAGAATCTGACCTCATTATGGTGCTAGAGGAAAAGGTCAAGGTATTACCCAAATTAATAAGAATTATCTTCTGGGCACCATGCTTATCTGTATCATATTTAATGGGAATCAATCCAATAGTCAGTCTGGACCATGCTGGTGGATTGACCTATTGACTGACACCACCCTCCATAGAGCCATGAGTGAGAAAGACACTTATCTGATGTGAGTCAGTAACTACTCCTGCTTGGGTTTTCTCCTCTTGCACAGTCTAAAGCAAAGGAATCGTATTGATCCCACTACAATGGCTATATCGTGTCAACAAGACTGGCACGTCACAAAAGAACAAAGCATATAACACAAGAATAAATAGGATACCAGGGCATCTTGTTAAGGACCTCAGTCCGTAATATGAATGTTCAGGTCCTTTTTGTGCCTGGATAACAAACTCAAACCCATAAAACAGCAGTGTTCCACAGGAGGGATGCATTTGTTTATCTCGAGGAGAGCAGAGAAGACGGCTTTCATGTTATTTCTGTAGGAGGGGATTGGTGGAAGAACTTCTTGTATTGGTTTCCAGAAAACTTCTGGCCGGGAGTGATTTTTGGGTGCACAAACCAATCTTAGCCCGACTTCCTTGCATTCCAATCTAAAAACGTTATCCCCCAAAACTGGTCAAAACAGAAGCGGTTATCCACTATGGGCACCCATGGTAGATGGACCATACGATCCCATTGTACCCTCAGGGGCCAACAAAGGCGTTTAATCATTCGGGGTGGACTAAGAGGGTCATTCGTGGGCATCCATTCTAACAAGTAAGGGTGTTGTTGCCCAGAATTGGTTGGGGCGTCACCGGCATTGCCGTCATATGAGCCTTTTGGGGAAGTCTTGGCAAAAAGCAGCAGCGATTCAGGAAGTGTAAAATTTTTTTTTTTTTTTTTTCTAGTAGGGTAGGCCTTTGACCAGAGTACAAGAGACCACAGGGGATGAAATCCCATGGCTTCTCCGGGAACTTGAAAACAAACTCCTCCAGCTCTGGATTGATAAAGGCTCAGAAGCTACCTGAAAACAAACCAAGTTAGGCGATGTTCGGCATTGGTCGGTCTGGGGATTTCAAAAAGCAAAGGTTCCACCCTCATGAGCCAAGATGGTCTGCTTTTTCCTTGTAGAAAGTGATACGAGTTTCTGATCTGGAAGTTTAACCTGGAATAGTCTTATCATAAGTGGGAAACAATTAACAAATCTGTCAATGATTGTTGTTGAAGGCATAGTAAAAAGGGTGTTCTTGACCCCTTTGGCCAAAATGTGTTTTTCATCTTATTCAAGACACAGCATTCGAAATTGGAAACTAGGATTAAAATGGGGATGAGCACAAACCAAACTTAGTCCTTCTTCCGCTTGGGAAGGGGTCCATCTTCACATTTTAAAACAAGTTCGGGCAGCTTAGAGTTCATTGAGCCCCACCAGAATTTCCCCACAGGCAACGGGGTCCAGAAGAACCATTGTCAAACTGAAGGACGAATACTCTGCATTAGAGTCTTGTTCTCAAGTATTTCTACCACAAACATGCTGGCCTGTCGGTGAATTTTCGACATTACGTCGAGCATTTCCCAGAAGAACTTCACAAAGCCGATAAGAGACGCCCCCTCTTTCTGAATCGTCAACATCTTAAACAGGAGGCTTACAAAAAAGTCCTGGTCCTGTAGGCTCATGGCTTCTGGTAGGGTAACAGTGATGGAGTGGTAATGTGGTGCGTTTTCCTTGATGTACCAACTAGTGGATGTGCGCACCACAGTGACCTCATGGCCCCTGGCATGGAGGCTCTGGATCAGGAGATTCATGTTGACCCAGTGGCTGCCATCCAACGGGAACACCAGAATCTTTCCGCCCTGGACACTGGGACTTTTCAGGAGGGACATCACCGCCAGCAGCAGAAGTGAAACTCCCGGGATGCTCCCCATGGATTCACTCTGAGGGAAAAGAACAAAAAAGTAATGGGTTTTATATCACACTTAATTTTTTACTTTTACTGAAACTTTCTGTCAAGGGCTGCATGTGTCATGGTAATCATGTTATATTATTAAATTATTATTACTTTTATTTTTGATATTTGAAGTAGATTTTCCTGATTACATACTTTCACTTAGGTAACATTTTCAATGCAAGGCTTTTACTTATGATGGAGTCTTTTGTACAGAGTGCTATTAGTACTTTTACTTAAGTAAGAGATCTGAATACTTCCAACATTGTTCATATTATTTATTTTTTTTTTTTTAGAGAGAAATGACTGGAAACACACATAGCCCGCACTACTAAACCTTGAACTGTTGCTGGTACTGTCATATCTTGGGAAAAACTGGATGGACTCAAATGCAACACAGTAGGATGTCTTTAGTAATTGAATGAAAATGGCTTACAAGCAGGTGGCATGCAAAATACAAGTCCAACATGGGAACGCAGGGAAAATGCAAGGAGAAAACCAAGAGCTAGGTGTCCACACACCAAACCAAAAGGAACTGACAACTGAAACAAGGAAACAAAGTCACAAAGGATCAAAGTCTAGTGAAATGCAGGGACTCGCTAACAGGCTAGCATACCATTCATAACCTGCAGAAGAAACATGCCTCAAGTGTCCTTGAGTTTCCTGTCTGCATGCCTGTTGTTGAGAGAGCTGGAAGAGGAATCTAACATGCACTCTTGCCTACAAATCAGCTACTTCCAGTGATCAAAGACTGTTAAAAGTAGATTTATTTAAAGTCCTGCACATGTTGCTGTCAGCAAAGTATCTTCTCCCTCAGCAATGCTGTGAAGGCATTTAACTGAGTTTATTCATGTGTTGTAGAAAAAGGAGTAAATGTTATAACTTACCTTGAATCTCTAAAACTGTGGAGAAATGCACTGTAAGTCTCCTCTGAACAAGTGAAGCGCAGCGGTGGCAGGAATCCATGAAGCCTGATTGTTGTGGTAAATAAGGAAGAGAGTGCAGTGGGGGAGGAGAGGAAAACGGTTTTCCCACAGAGCCAGCCCTCTTTCTGTGCTGCATATAAACACATGCACACACACACACACACACACACACACAGGAAGGAAGCCACCCACCAAACACACATTTGACCAGTTCTTGGTCTCAAAATGAAATTAGTTTGTTGGGGAACAGCTTCACCAAACAACATGACTGGTTCAGACCAAGGGTTGAATATAAAAATCATATAATTCATTAGTAAGTTAAAATATTAAAACAATAAAACATTTATGCTGAATCCTGATCAGTCAGACTTTGTTGGTTCAGTCAAGTGTCCAGTGGACCTGAATCAACCAACAACACTAGTGAACACCCACATACAGAGGAAGATAGTGGTTTGGGGGTTCAGTTACTCTTTAAGATGTGACTATATGTTGATTTTATCTTTTAACCATCTTTAAGATGTAGCACATAGCAAGTACAGGAAAGGAGGAAGATGACAAACAGGGGCGAGACTTAGGAAGGGGGAAGGGGAAAGACTGTTTCCAGTTTCACACATCTGCAGGTTTCCTGTCATACTTTTGTTTTTTTTTGGGAGGGGGGGTTGCAGCTCGTTGGGACATTTAGGTGCTTTTAACACTGTATTTAATATAGTTTAAAACAGACAAATTATGCTGGGCCTCAGTGGATCAGCCTGAGCGGGAAACTTGATTATATCGTAAAATAATACAGTCTTGGTCGTCTGGTTCCTGGATTTAAAGGATAAGTTGGTATTTTTCTGAAACAAACAATGTGTTAGTCAGTACTTTCTCATTTCCCTTTTCTGTGTGTTAATTTCCTGAAACAGCTTCTCACTATAGTTTCTAGTGAACGTCACTCAAACAGGAGGAATTAATACACTTGTTGGGGACTATTTTAAGCGGTCGATTATTCCACATTTGGTGCTTTGGTGCGTTAACACCAATTGGTGCGTTAACACCAATTGGTGCGTTAACACCAGTGGAGCACTAAACTTAAAGGGAGTCAGTACCATCAGTTACAAAGATTATCTTGATTCAGTTTGTACAAACCTGCATTAACTGGTTTTTCGGCTTTGAGATAGCAGGACGAGCTGTAAACACGGCATTGATATAATATCACCTTAAACCCAGTAACTGCTTTTTTTGGCCTCTTGGGGGCAGCTGAAACAGGTCGAGAACACAATGTTGACATATACTTGAAGTTCATATGGTGAGCACAACCAGCAATTAGAAAATAAAACATTATCATTAATTTTGTGTTTCTGTTCACCTGATGAATATAATATAATATAAGACCAATAATCTCTGTTACCTACCAACTCCTGAGGGAAATATCTGGTTCTTTAGCAGTTAAATGTTGCACTATGTTCACTAAAACTAATGATTTTTATCTGTAGAAGATGTCACAGACATGGAAAAAACTTGTATGTATTGTATGTATTTTTTTAAAGGAGATGAAGCTGTTCAGCATCGTAGCCGTCACACAGAGCTCAGGTAGGCAGTTGGCACTCAGGGTTACCAGCAGAGGAGCGGGGGGACCTAGTGGGGAATACTGCTAAGGAGGGGTGAACCGGAGCGGGGCGGACCAACGGAGGATGGCTCCGACCAGGACTCTGACTCTGGGGATGAAGACACAGCGGGTTCAGGCAGCGACAGGAGAGGAATGAGTGTATAGTTTTTATTTGTTAGTCAGGAGCAAAGCAAATCTAAATTAAACTTTTATTATGTAAGAGGAAGTCTTTGAGTCTCGCTTTAAGTGAAATTTACTGAAGTGCAACACTCACAGCAAGCGAAAAAAGACTGATAAGTGAAACCAATGTTGAAACTGTTTCTGCTTTCACTGAGAGGTCATGTGTTAAAGAAAAAGGGGAAACAGCTCTTTATTAATTCATGCTTCACAGCATTTCACTGAGGGTCTGTGTGAAGGCATGACACATCGCTGGGCATTCAACAGCTGGATTTCACCCCCAACTGCCCACTATCACAATGTCAAATCACAGTGATCTGGCTGTGGTCATCCTGGCCTTCACTGCCGGGTGGTGCCTGTGTGCAGCTGATGTCGGGGACTTCGCTCCTTGCCTGCAGGTCTTCTATAAGTCTTGGCCTCCCAAAGGTCTGGCAGGGACCCCGATCTGCCAACATTATTACAACCAGTACCGCTTTGCCACGTTGTACAGTCGACCACGCCGCTCTCCATGGTTCTCAGCCTATTTGTACTCTGTACCACAAGGAAAGAGACCCAGTGCATCTTGGAAGTTCGAGCCACAGGTGAGCAGATTTATGTTGATTCATATTGAAACATGAATTTATATAAAGTATTAGAGAAGGTGGAGTGTTAAGCTGTTTTAATGTTTGGAGTGGAAACAAGATATTAGTAGGCTCACACTGAAACAAGACATTATTCTTGTTTGAAAAGACTTCTTCATTTGACTCGTACCTACGTCCTAGTTTAGCACCATTTACATGTTTTCAGGAAATAACAAGAAAACGAGGAAATACGCCTCAGTAAAGAAGAACTGTCACATTTGTGTGCTCATGGTCCGTCAGCTCTGCATGGTAACCATAAATCTGGTACACTACATGGCCAAAAGTACCTGGAAAGCCAAATGATACATCCATATGTGATTATTGAACAGCTCTCTCCAAAACCATGGGCATTAATCTGCTGCTATATATAACTATATACACCACAGAGCCACTGTCATGTTGAAACAAGAAACACATTATTTATTGAAATATAACTGAAAGCTGTAGCATTTAGTTTTCCCTTGGACTGTAGCTTCCATTAAATACAAGTCTTATACAAAATTAACCATTTATGAAGACTCTGGTAGGATTCTGGTACTTTTTACACTCAGTGTCGACTGTTTTTAGGCAAAACATTTTTTTTTTAAAAATAGAATAAAATAGACCAATGTAGTATTTCTTCACCAAAACTATATTCCTGGTGTCTTGAAGGCTTTGCAAACCTTGATAAGAGTGACAAAAACAGAATATGTTATGCATGTAAACATTGTTAAAGGTCTGTATGACATAGTCAACTTTAAAACTACATCACTTCTTCCTTTAACGTCCCAATAAACAGCTAGCATACCCAGGAGCTGATGGCAACATGATCCCCTTCCCTCCGGGCCCTCTGGACCAGAACGTGGTAGACAGCCAGGCAGTGGAGCCGGACTACATCAATTCCACCTATTCCCGTGGCCACTTGAACCCGAGCCTCCACCACCAGAGACGTGAAGACCGCTCGGCCACCTTCACCCTCACTAATGTGGTTCCCCAGAAGGCGGGCTCTAATGACGGGCCCTGGGAATACCTGGAGCAGGCCGTCAACAAAACCCTGGGGGCCTACTGTCTTGGAGAGGCTTACATAGTGACTGGCATCATCCCTTACCTGAAAGACGAGCGTTGGATCAAGAATCATCGCGTGGCTGTGCCGGAGTATATGTGGTCCGCCTACTGCTGCCCAAACTACAACAGCAGTCTGCCAGAAGAACTAAAGGGTGCGTTTCCCACGTACGCCGCAGTGGGCCGCAATGACCGCAACAGCACCGAGGAGATCGTGCCCGTTAGCCAGACAGCTAAGAAACGGTTCAGAGGATACGATGTCAGACAGATGCCACTGGAAACACTTGAGATGTATCTGAAGGACCGTTTCAATACCGTTGTCAGTGTTTTTTATGAGAAATGCTCTGGATCAGACTGATCCTGCACAGAGACACACAGAGACTGCATTGTTACAATAATCAGGTCTTGAAGTGTTTAATTCAATTTAATCCAGACTAAATATAATTACAGTGTGTCCTTTCAACAAAGTCCTGCAAACAAAATGGCAAAATATTAGAGGAATTATTCTTATAATCTGCCATCACTAGTTAAGGTTTGGTTACACTGTAAAAAAATCATTTATTTTTAAAAACTGTAATATTCAGGCAGCTGAGGCACCAAAACAATACTGTAAAGTGACTGACTCGTACAGTCATTTACTAAAATTAAAATGAGTTTTTAGCTTTAATTAGAATTATTTATACATGTAAAAACAATTAAATGACCTATAAATACAGGCAACCTTTGCTATAATACAAATAATCAGGCTTAAAGTGCTGTTATTATTAGATTTTTCTTATTTTAAAGAAAATCTTAAAAGTTACAGAACTGTAATAAAAGTAATTATCTGTGAAATTACAGTAATTATTGTTGTTTTCAGTGATAAAAACTGTATTTTAACAGTTTACCAATGCTTATACACTGATACAAAGCAGCAAGGACCCAGCCCACAACAGGCACTGGGGTGCCAGCTCCACCAGGTGAGCCACCAGGGGGCCTGTAAAGCTCAGTAATCACAAAAAAACAGAATAACTATTTCATGGCGCAGTGATTTCCTGAAGTTTTGTTGTTGACACCCAACCAAGAAAAAGTATGGGACTGTGAAACGTATTACTTGTTTTTACCATGGAGGGGTGGATCTAAAGAAATATTCATGGGGTGGCCAGAGGGTGGCATGGAGACTTTAAGAACTATTCATCGAATCATAATCACATTAGTTATTATTTACTTGGGAATGCCCCCAGATGTAGATGTTTGAACTCAAAAACATTATTGTGGCACATTAGTAGGCCAATAGAAATATCTAAAGGTGGAATTAGAAGTCAAAGAATTGTTTTATTTCAGACATTTTTCAAAATATGTGTCATATTTTATCTAACTTGAGCCTATCACTTAGTCCAAAATGTGTAATTACTTTTTTTAACTTAAAATTAATCTAAATGAATGTGTTTAATTTGAGCATTTATGTCCAAATGCATTTTTTAGCCATCCCTCTACATCCGCTCCTGTTACCATGTTCTTTTTTATTTTACAGTTAAACAAACACTACCACTACACTTGCTACCTATGGACAGAGCCAGGCTGTTTCCACTCTTCATGCTAAGCATACATGTATATCCATGTGCATATAATGGTATTTCTTTTGTCTGGGTACGTGTACAATGTAATGCTTCCACTGTGGGTTTGCAGCAAATACGTTGGACCACTAGGTGGTGACCTCGTGCAATACATGTAGCTGGTGAAAAGCTGTTTGTTTTACTTCTGTTGACACTGAAGTTTCATCTTTACAGAATGAATCCAAAGAAACACCTCATCAAATCAATGCATCTTTTATCTTCTAATTAAATCACTATCACTAATAAAGTCAGTGATCTTTTGTTTTATATTTAAAACAGAAACCACACTTTCTAATCTGTATTCCGTAACATTCATTTTTATCAAGCTTTCTGAACATGTGTAATAAGTGGAAATTATATTTATGCTTTAAATCAAGAACAATAGATATGTTGCCCGTCGGACTCGACTGTTCTGAATCTTTGCCAAGTCTTTGTAATGATCACTAAGACACAAGTTTTGTCATATCGGACTCATTATGTATTTATTTATGAAAAGATGGTACAACACATGTAACACTACACACCGGTGTGTCAAACTGCATTACTCTGACAAACATTCCTCACCAGCTTAGTAAGACTGTTGTGTCATTTGAGCAAAGACCTTGTCCCAGATCTCCACCTTCAGAATGGCCCTGCCCAGAGGGGACATGGTGCACATGATGTCCAGGTTCTTGCCCTGGTACGTGAGACCGCAGCCTTTGGCCTCAGCCCGCACAAAGCCCACTTGCTCTTTGTTGTAATACATCTCTTTGTACAGACTCTCGTTGCACTCTTTTCCCACCTCGTAGATTCCCACGCCCACCCAGTTCTTGTACATGTTTTGGTCATAGGGCACGGAGAACATTATAGCTACTTTCTCTTTGGCGCAGTTGCTCTGCCTCTCAAACAGGTCGTAGGTCAGGACGCCCACTGCGCCGGTGGCTTTGGCGGTTGTCTTGCTGAAGTTGCACACTTCGGTTTTCAGTGGGCGCACGGTGGGTTGGGGTGGGCTGTGGCAGTTGCCGCTCTCCAAGTAAACCCTTTTTTAAAGGCAAAAAAGAAAAAAAAAAGTAAATTAGATAATGAATGACTACTCTTAATTTGGAGAAATTAGGGCCTCATCATTCAAGCTGCTCTTCAGTTTATCCATGAAAGCAAATGAACTTGCGCTCGTTTTTTCAACAGCTTTACAAGTTTGCCTTTAAAGTCTTGCACTTACTTGGGGTCCACTAGGCAGTAGTTGTTGGTGATGTTGGAGATCTCAATGGTGACATTTCTTCGGCTTTTGAGGTTAGCTGCCAAAGCCTCTGCTGATTCACTCATACTGCTGCTCGGAAAGGCTGCGATGGAGCATGAGAGGTGTAAAGTTTAAACAGCAGGTCTGTTTTACAATGCACCGGAGCAATTACTGTACAGTGCTAAATCCTTCTGATGTACATCATAATTCACTAAATAAGAGCATGGGAATAAAGAAGCTTACCTCTCCGGATTCCAGGTGTGCTACTTGCTCAGGTAAAACCAGATTGGAAACACTGGGTTCAGTCTTTAGCTCTTTCTCACTGGGGAATGTGTGACACCTAAATCCCACCCAAAACTGTCTCCACCCACAGCACACACCTTCTCCCGGTTGCTCACCGTCTCAAAACGTCTTCTCCTCAGGTATGTAGATACAGAGGCGTGAAGACGGGGGTTCAGCTGACAATAACAACTCTACGGTGGTAATTCTTGTTTTCAGCCGGTTTGTTCAGCTTTCCATGACCGTCTCATACCACATTGTCTCAGTATGCACCACACCTTTTGCCTCTGGGTCTGTGGTGTGAACCTACAATACCTCACTGAAATTTACTTTTTCCACTCGAAGTGAAGTATGATTAATTTTATATCTGCTTAATAAATCTTTTACTTTTTGTTACTTGATGTTACTGCATACAAACATTTGTGATCATGTGTGACGAGATGGTAGAAAAAAACGTGAAGGACAAGAAATCCATTATATTGTTTTTTATTCATTTAAAGCACCGTTACATGACATGAATGACAGACAAGTTGCATGTAGGTTTTCAGAAATATGTGCATCGGCTGTGTTCTTACAATTTACTCCACACCAATGAACTCATTCGATGCTCAACCTTTTATTTTCACAGCACCACAAAGAGACTCATCTGCCCATCTTGTCATACAGCTCCAGTTTAATAATTGACCTGCCCTCATCGGACATGCAGGCCCTTACGTCCACCATCCTTCCCTTGTACATCACCCCTGAGCCGTCAGCCTCGTGGCGCACAAAGTTGGTGAAATCCTTTCCCTTGTACATGTGGTCATACAGCTTCTCATCGCACGCTCTCGTGTGCTCGAAGATGCCCACCCCGAGCCAGTTCTTGTAGAAGTTATAGTCGAACGGCACCGAGAACATGACGGCCATCAGCTCGTTGCAGTGGCGATTGCGCATGTCAAACAGCTCGTAGGTCAGGACGCCCACAGCTCCCGATGCTGTGTTGTCATCCTTGGTGAAGGAGCACACCTCAGTCTTGGTGGTGCGCACAGTGGGCTGTGGGGGGCTAAAGACGAAGCCGCTTTCCATGTACACCCTGGAGGGTAGAAGAGGATAGATGCAGCTGTGAGTGGTGGAAGAAGTACTTAAAGTCCTATTATCAGCTAAATGTAAGTACTGTTGACTGAGATATTACTATATATGACTTTATTAGACTGTTAATGCTGATGTATCCATGTGGAACAACTAATAGACATCTGGAACACAAGGGTCAGGAGGCAAAAAGGTTGGAAAACATTAGTTTAATCTTCAACAACTGGTCTACTTTTTGATCCAATCTTCCGCAGTGGGAAGTAGAAATAAATTGGAACACTCATGCACCTCAAGTACCTTCAAAGTGTACTTGAGTGCAGTACTTGTGCAACGGGCACACTGTCTAACAGCAGTTCTTACTTTGGGTTGACGAGACAGAAGGTAGCGCTGACATTGGTGATCTCTATGACACAGTTGCGGTTGGTGGTGAGGGCGACAGCGTGGGACTCTGCAGTCTCAGGCATGTTGACGGCTGCTGGATGACGACTAAAAGACAGAGGTAAAGAAAAAAGCTGCGAACATCAGAAACTGGAAGTTCTGCATTATTGAGATTTATTTTGTAGCTTATGTAGAAAACTGCCTCGAAGGTTCCTTATTAAACAGCATCAGGTAGAGTCACCTGACACACATATACTGCTAAGAGGCGTGCAAACAATCATTCTACATACACACTATGACACAAGGATGAAGTACAATGCACTCAGGACACCAAGCATTACATCACTGCAGCACACTATTTCATCTTTATTACAAGATAAAGAGCTAAAAACATCTCTATTGACCATTATCACAGACTGTTATCTACTAATATTACAACTAGATATCAAAATAATTCTAGCTTTGGTTAATACGGCATAATTCACTCAAAGTAAATGTACTTACTTTGCTTTATGTCACACACACAGGGTGGTAGAGAGTCCTCTGAAAACAGGTCTGAGTTTGGTTTGGAGACAGGTATGAAGTCACACCCTCCCAGGCACAGTCACACCTCACATACAGTCTGAGCTTACGGGAGGTGTGTCTCTGCTCTCTTTTTAGAAGACATCTGCACCAATACACGTGTAATGTATGTTAAATTTCAATGTCTAAAGCAATGAAAAAGACTGGATTATAGAAACATTATGTGAATTAAACGTTTTAGTACTGATGGTCAGTTTGGCACAAGATGGAAAAGTACTGCTGGCATAGACGAACAATAGATTCCCCACAGTGGCTGACAGTTGCCGGGTGTAGTACCTGAATTTCTGGTAAGATTTCAAAAGTAAATAGTAGCAGCCACGCACGATACAACAGACGTTCTCATTGTTTTTACACACGTTTTCTGTATGTGGAACCTGTTCCAGCATGTGTGATATTTGAACAAGTCACCAGTCCATCAGAGTGAACTGTAAAAATTGACAAACACGTACTCATGGATGGATTACTGAACGGGCCTCAATGATTGAGGCACTATTTCATGTTTCAGATGTCTTTGAGTTGTATCTTTCATACATTATGAGGTTTATTCAACATTTATATATAAATATTAATATGAATTGGTACATTTTTCCAACTCTTCAAGGGTAAGCACAAGGCCAGGCTAAAGTTGAATTTTTGCTGCTGTGGCTGCAAAAAAATGAGTGGCCCATAATTGCTAACGTTCAAATTAAATTGCCATATCATCAACAAAACTTGAATAACTTTTGGAATAGTAACACATTATTATTATTATAATATGTTCGAATCACAATATTGCTTTATATTATGCTATCCAATGAAGCAATCTTAGCTAGCTGGCTGGCTAACATATTGGCAACAAGGTTAGCGTTAGCCCCTCAAACTATCTGTACACATCCCTGCAACGCTTCCTTCAGCTGCTTCTCCAGCCATCAATGCAGTTTAGCTCCAAGCTATTTCCCAAAACTTCATATTCAGGGTTCCACGTCTTTCCTACATTATGATGTTAATCAAATTTGAATCCTATTAATTATCTTATACTTTACTTTACTTTATCTTAACTGTTTTTACTCCTTCAGCTTCGTCTTCATACAAAGTTAAGCCAAAGTTAGCTCCAGCTTTTCAACAAACCTTAAAATATTCCACATCTTTCATACATTATTGACATAATTTAACATTTAAATACCAGCAATGCAGTTTATCATCAACTTTTCAACATCCAGCCTTCACATTTCTTCAGAAAATGCCTTCTCTAGTTACACTTATGTACTTTTACTAAAGCAGGATTATAAATTAAGTATTTAAGTCACGTGTAATGGAGTATTATTAGTTTGTCATACTGATATTTTGGTTTAAGTAAAAGATCTGATTACTTCTTTTATCGCTGCAGACATGCATGCATGTTTTAGGACCATGGGTCACACCCTCTTGGCAAGGCAGGAATACTAATAACCACTGTATCACAGCACCATCCAGCATCCATACATTAAAATAGTGAAACATGTCATGTCCTGGTGGCCGGGGGGTTTATGATGCTGGTGATGCATTCACAAAATCTCCGGGATGACTCAGTTTGGAGACCTTTAAGACTCTACACTATGGTTTAATGGAGCTACCGAACAGTAAGTTTCCTGCCCACTCACAGCCGGTTGAACCACACAGTGTCATCTCTGCAACATTCATGTGCTATCTGCAAATCAAAACACATGCAGTAATACCTTTTAAATCGTATATCATCTTGGCACAAAAATATCCAAATTGTAGAACATTGTCTTGTTTTATTTTCCTCATTATGTTACAAGGACCTTTCTATACTGTCTTTGTGTCTATATGTTTTATTATTATATATTATATATTTCTGCAAGGAAAATGGTCACGGCAAAAGAACTCACACGTAGTATTTGAAATATGTTTCCTTTGTGTCTCCCAACAAAAGAAGGCAGCTCAATCTCACTCAGATGTTAACAAGATTAGTGTCCAGCAAAATGTAGCTGATGAACATGTGCAGTTTCTCTTCAGTAGGATTTAAAATGAATTAATATTTCAGTTTGCAGAGCTTCACCAAATTGTTGTATGGAGAGTCACAGTCAGAACTGCAGTCGCTTTAGATTCATTAAGTGCAGCTCATCCACTCTCAAGCATAAACTCTTTCTTCATCAGGGGAAAAACAGAAGACGTGTTAGAAACCTTTTAATCAACTTAAACAACATAGGTAGAAATCGAGTCATCATTTTTTCTTTCATTTTTACAACATTAGCGCCATCTTGTGTTCAAATCAAAACAACCAAAATGAAGACAGACATTTATTTCCAGCAGTTTACGTCAGACCAGCTCAATGAAACTGAGCTTTCTGCATGAGAACAAAAACATAAAATCCACAATTAAGTAGAGTCTTTCTTTATAAGTTACATTACAAAGATGGTTGGCGAACACTGGCACCAGTGGTGGAATGTAACTAAATACATGTACTCAAGTAATGAATTTAAGTACAATTCATGGTGCTGGTATTTTAATTTGATGCAACTTTATACTCCTACTCCAATACACCTCAGAGGGAAATAATTAATTTTTTACTTCATTATATTTATTTAGCAGCCTCAGTTATTTGTTCATTTAAAAAAAATTTTTTTTACAGATTTTTGCACAAAAACAAAATAATCAGTGTGAAGATGTCACTTTGGGCTCTGGGTAAATGTGACGACAAGAACTTTTCTTGAGTATTTCCATTTTTTACACCTCTACTCCACTACATATCACTGGTAAATATTAAACTCATCACTCCACTCCATTTATTTGACACTTTGGCTATGGCTACTGGTTACTTTTTAAATTGGAAACACGTGATAGGCTTATATATGACGCAGTACTATACCACTAATCCAACCAGTGATATACAAAGTATCTCACACAACTACAACATTAAAATGTATTTTTTTGTGATAAAAACAGAATTATATAATATTCTATAATAATATAACACAGTGGAAGAAGCCATTCTCCATAATAAGTACTTTTACTTTTGATATTTTAAGTATGTTAAGCTAATAATAGGCTACTTCTTTAGGGAGTACTTTTAGACGACGGTATTTCAAGTAAGTTGTTCATCTGTTGTAATTCACTTGATAGTTTTTTGTCACCACAAGATGGCACTCAAATGGTAACAATTATCAAAGGTATCAGTTCATAGATGATTATCCTAAAAGAGTCCTTGTGTTGACTGAAAGTGTAAATGAAGCGCTTTCTAACACTTTACCTCTGTTTGTCCAGATAAAGCTGAAACATTTGAGGTTTGATTCAACATAATAACTGAATAAAGTTGATAAAAAAGCTG